CATAGATACGTGTTGTGGTTTAAGCCCAGCCGGCAGCTAAGCACCACCCAGCTGCTCGCTCACACAATGGGATGGGGGAGTGAATCAGAAGAGTAAAAGTGAAAAAGCTTGTGGGTTGAGGTAAAGACAGCTTAACAGGGAAAGCAAAAGCCGTGTGCGCAAGCAAAGCAAAACAAGGAATTAGTTCACCACTTCCCATGGGCAGGCAGGGGTTCAGCCATCTCCAGGAAAGCAGGGCTCTGTCACGTGTAATGGTGACTTGGGAAGACAAACGGCATTGCTCCAAATATCCCCTTCTTCCTCCTTCTTCCCCCAGCTTATATATTGAGCATGATGCCCTATGGTCTGGAATAGCCCTTGGGCCAGTTGGGGTCAGCTGTCCTGGCTGTGCCCCCTCCCAGCTTCTTGTGCCCCTGGCAGAGCTGAGAGCTGAGAAGTCCTTGACTTGTGTAAGCATTGCTTAGCAACAACTAAAACATCAGTCAGTTATCAATGTTCTTCTCATCCTAAATCCAAAACACAGCACTATACCAGCTGCTAGGATGAAAATTAACCTAGGACAGTATGTCAGGGTTTAATCTGTGTGGAAGAGTTATTTGGGGTAGAGTGCTTACACAGAAAAACCTTTTGCAAAAGAAACAGTGTTGAGATGGCAGGACATTTTGCAAATTGCTACACACTGAATCTCTCCAAGACTGTTTCCAAGGGATCCTTGTTTAGCTGAGGCTTCAGATTTAGATTTTTGTGAAAACAAAATTTACTCCTTTTACTCAACCTAATGGCATAACTGAATTGTGCTGGAATGTTTTGTTTGGACTGGATACTTTGCTGTAGCTTCTCACGTGCTGGTGTAACATGGTGTTGCTTAGGTTGTAGGACTCCTAGTCTGTTTTCATTGCTGGATGAAGTGCTAAAAGCACCAGCTACAACGAGAAAGGTGTGCTTGCCTGAGAATATTTGAGCAGAGATAGCTTCAAAATTATTTAAGAACCTGATCTATCTTAGCAGCGAAGTGGCTAGTGATTACTGTAGTTATACTTGCTAACAGCTAGCCTGTTGATCCACAAAATGCACTCAGTGGCAGCTGGCAGTAATTTTTCACACGGTAACTTATCTCAGCTGGGCAATTAGCTAGATAGGGTGTGAGCTCATGGAGGAAACCAATGTGATGTTTTTTTCCTCTGTCTGCTGCCGTGTCTTGCTCATTGGGTGCTCACTTAGGGGCTTGTGGCAAACAGAACAGAGCTGCTCCTGATCCTAAATGGCTTACGATCTTTGCTGATCTGACAGAGCTGGGGCCTGCTGAGAATGAAGCTTCTTACACTGCACCACCAGTGTCACTGATGGCCTCAGAGAAGGGAAGTAGTACATGTAATTGAAGCTGCTGTTTCAGTAGCATCAGTGGGATTTATCTGCACTGCTCTGTAGCAGTGGGGAAACTGGTGTGTTGTGGAGGATACTAGTAGGTAGTTCCTCTGAAAGAAAGTATTAGACATCAAGCAGCAGCACTGCAGAGCCAAAGCATCCATCTTCCTTACTGCGTTCTATGTCCCTTCTCTGTTCAACAGGTATTCGATCTGTGAGCTTCTACGAGCACATCATCACAGTGGGAACGGGGCAAGGCTCCTTACTGTTTTACGATATCAGAGCCCAGAGGTTCCTGGATGAAAAGCCCCCATGTGCCTGCTATGGACAGAAGCAGAGATTAGGGGGAAGTGAGATTTTGAAGTTGACTACTGGGAAAGGCTGGCTGGTGAGTAGCTTGTAGCTGTAGGGTGACTCTTTACACAGGAGTGCTGTAGGGCTTGAGAACTGGTTCTTTTAAACGCGTCCCAGCAAAACAGTGATCATGTAACCGATAACTGTAATAACATGGAAAGCAAGAAGTGCCGCAGAATTGCTTTCTACAAAAGCCTTATGAAAGAATATCAAATGGTTGGTTGCTTGAGTGTAAGGCATACTGAGTACTTTCCTTATGAATTGATTCATAAAGGAACTAGGTTTTGTATCTTCACATTTTCGAATGTAATCTTAAATTCCAGTTTTCAGAACCTCAAACACAAAATACATTGTTGTCCTTCAAAAATGTGCTACTCTAAGGTGGTACTCAAAGTAAGAGAGATTTAATTTAGTTGTGTGCAGTTTTAGAAACTGTGGCTCTCTGTGGTAATGCCATGGTAGGCACTTGAGTTCAATTTCCTTTATGTTATCATAAAGCAGTTAATGGCTTTGTCTAACTTTTCTCCGTTATCTTTTGTATTATTCTGATGTAACTTTAAAAAACAATGAAACGTGGTGTCATCCCTACCCTTCACCTTCCCCCCTCCAATGTTTGGCCCAAATGTCCTCAGAACAAGCTTCAGGACAACTCTGGCATCTTCAAGCTGATCTGTCTGAAGCTTCAGGGAGTAAAAAGAACCCTTTTCTGGCTCTGGAAGCTACCTTCTGCTTTTGTGAAACAAGGTTTTGGGTTTGTTGGGCAATAATAACAATCTAAACTTTCCTTTAACAGAATCATGATGAAACCTGGAGGAATTATTTCTCTGACATAAATTTCTTCCCAAATGCTGTTTACACCCACTGCTACGACTCGTCTGGAACGAAACTCTTTGTGGCAGGAGGCCCCCTTCCATCAGGACTTCATGGGAATTACGCTGGTCTCTGGAGCTAATGATAACTCTTTATAAATGCTGATCTTTACACAGATTTCCACTTTTCTTTTCCTTTTTTTAACAACAGAATTGTGTGATGCCATTGATTTCTGATTTAAATGCAAGTTATTTTTTGGCAGAGTTTTCTGTTGGTCTCCAACAGTTTTGTACATCTTTTTGAACCAGTTTTTTGCTTTAACCTCCTTGATTCTTTATATGGAGGGGTTTTGAAATCCCTTTTTATTGTATTTACTCCAAATGACTCTCCCCCCGCATTTAGGCTATCTTGGCCATGTGCCCCCTCCCCTCCTTTGCTGTGAGGTAGGATTCCTTTCTTACAGAGTGGTTGCTTCTGGGCTTTCTGTGAAAGTCTGGGGGCTGCGTGTGTGCAGGTACTTTGTGTCAGTTATATTACCTGGAGTGAGGACTACTTGTAATTAAAAAATATTAAAAATATTTATAAGAGATAAGCTACTACTTTATCTGCAGAGCCTGGCGCTGGCCTGGGTTGACCTTATTTTTTAAAAGTACAAGTCTAATGACACTGTTTATACGTAGAGGAATATGGTAAATTTAAGCTGTACTCATTGGAGCCCAGGGATGGATTCACCAGGGGTATTGCCCATCAAGCCCAAACCGTGGAAGTGGGAGTTTTCAAAAGTGCATTTGTATTTGAATTTTAGTTTTTGGTAGTGTCAGGAGCAAAAATTCGTCTCCTGATCCCTCTCTGCCTGTCCCAGGTACTGGCTTGCACAACTGGACTTTGCATAGGTTGTTCTGCAGCGTGGCTATTGCAGGGTGATGTTACACTGAGGGCCTGCAGAGGTGCTCAGAGGAAATGGGGGCTGGTAACACGAGTTTTCTTGTCATTCAAAATGAACTAAATATGTCCATTTTCCAGATGAGCCAAGGTTCCCAAGTATGCTGCCATGGTAGCTCATGGGTTCTTCATAAACTGCCTAAAACCCGGGATGGTTTTTGTCCCAAGTTGTGGAGACTTTTCTCATTTTAGCTGTTCTGGTTGGCCATCTCCTCTACTAAGTCAATGGAATAAATAAACTGGTTTTTCTTCAGGGTTAACGAGTGCATCTTGGACTTAACCAATGCAAGCTAGAAGCTTTCCATGTAGCAAGATACCTTGCTGTTAGCTCACATTGTGCTAACATCTGCTGTCATCCTGCTTGCTACAGGAGAGTCTCAGTCTTTCCCCAAATCCCATGTTGCCTTCTGCATTCAAACTCCTTCAAAATTCATGTGGGTCTGGGTGGGGAGAATAGATCTGATGGCCTTCAGGTCCAACTGTGAAGCGCATGCATTCCAGGGTGATGGTCTTACCTAATACTCAGCTAAAATGCAGGACTCCAGCGCGCTCCTGCTAGCCTTTTGGCAGGCACTAAACTCTTGGCTTGTTACTGATGCCTCTGTCCTCTGCTGGGATTAATGCCTTTCCCCTGCCTCTGTCACTGGTGGAGCAGAGTGTGCCTGTACCTCACTACTTTGGTTCCAAATGGGCAGTTGGTTGAAGACGAGAAGAAAGACAAGGCTGGGACGTGCGCTGTTCTCCTGTCTCTGCTGGAGATCACAGCCACCACTGCAGAGTAGCTCTAGTCCTTACACGGTTCCTGCTATGCTGCCTAAAGCTACTCCGCATGTGTCCTTGCGGTCTCTCTTGTCTTTGTATTCCGTATCTTCATCAGTAATGCCAAGCAGTGAGCCTCAGGCTTAAAGCAGAGACTTGGATGGAAATCCTGCAAGGAATGCAGTTCCCTCCCATCCATGTGGAAATCCTGGCAAGAGAAGAGCTCTCCCAGATGAGCACCTGTCCCAGAAGTGTTATTTACTCACACTGACCACTGACACGGGCGCTTCACAGACAGATCTGGTGGCATTTCATAGTTCTGCTTCCCTTGTGGGTTGATTGCTTAAGCTGAATCAGTTCACGGTGCTGTGTGTGTGACTGTTCAGGCTTTCCTCTGAAAAGGGGCAAATTATATACCATGGGGTAGTGAAGGAGCTCTAAAATTTTACTTAGAGTTGTTCATTATTTTTAAAAGATGTAATTGTGCCTGTGTTGTTCTGTGATGGCAGCATACTGCTTTGGTTATTTTAGGGGTTTTGAAAAGTGGAAATATACAGGGAAAAACAAGTCTTGATGAAGTGTGGCAGGATGCGTGTTTTGGGGATTACTCCTCCAGCTACTGTGTAAGATCACTCTGTCACAGGGAACATGTTCTGCTTAGGTTTTTTTATTTGGGCTTGAGATGCTGCTTTTTTTTTTTTTTTTTTTTAAAAGAAACTAGACAATTGGGTCTTCTTGAATGTTC